AGTTGAGTAGCACTTGAATGTTTTAGCTCTTGAAACCTGATTTACTTATATGATTATGTTTTCTTCTAGTTTGTATCTTCTTGGTCGAATGCACTTGTTGTAAGTCGCTTTGGATAAAATCTTCAGCTAAATGTAATGTAATGTAAAAGTAAATACATATAAAATAGAATGAGATGGTCTATTTGTTAATAACGTTTTTTTTGTTTGTGTGCCATTTCACAGGTTTCCCTCTGGACAAAGCTGTGGAGTACGCCAAGCTCAGGAATCCACTGCTCCTCAACGACCTCAACATGCAGTATTTCATCCAGGACAGGTAAAGCAGGACTGAAGGGTATCACAGAGAAGAAGCTAATTTCAACATAATGGTGCCTCATAACACAAACAATGAGTACAACGAGGGGTCATTAAAGTGGACTTAACATGCTATATTTGAATAATATAGTGTAGGACCATACCTATATAAGGCATATTTATACTTTTTATTTTTCAAAATACCAAACAGATCATGCATTTTAGCCATTCCTCATTTCGCTCAATTTAACACTGTCTTTGCATGGGCTGATTCTGTGAGAACAGCACCATCTACAGGCCTGGCATATGTACTACAGCGTCTCCAGCGCTTTCGAGCGGCAATGTCCGTGGCTGTCTCCTCCTGATTGGTGGAGTTGGCCCAATAGCCGTAGCGCCACTTCTGTGACGTCATAGAAGTGTTCAAATCTGGATCAGTCTGTATCAGATCCGTTGCAGCCCCTTTTTAAGAGATTTGGGTATGGAGGAAAATAGAGAGGGTTGTGTTTTCTGACACTTGGTGAGTTCCCTGGAACACCGGGGACACATGTTAATTTATAAACGACGTACGAAAGTGCATTTTGCATGATAGGTCACCTTTAAGTAGCTAAAATCATCGTTATGCTACTTGTTGAAGAAGATACTTAGAAATTGAAGTTTCTCTGTATAAAATAAAACAATATACCTGCATCAAGTTTTTCACCCCCTTATGTCAATTTCAAAATGCAGAAGCTGGACTCTTTTACACATCCATCTTGTTTGCACTTGCCAGTTATTAATAGGAGAGAAAACATGATGTAATTGCCATCTTCACACTTTCTACATAACTGTTTGGCTGCCTAACCCCAGCAAAACGCATACGTGCACATCAGAGCTGCATACATTGAAATACTTAGATTGTTCTTTTTTTGAGGTTATTGACATTTTATTGGATTTTCCATCAGGAGGGAAGTTTACAGGATACTAAAGGAAGAGGGCATCGACCTGCCTCGTTACGGCGTATTGAACAGAGACCCCGACAATCCTGAAGGTGAGAAAGTTAATATACTTTGTGTGAATAAGTTTGCATGATTTTGGATGGAAACTAAAACAAATCCCATGAATAAATATATTAAATGATCCATCTGTGACATACAACAGCATACAGGACATCAGTTACGTTGCAATATGCACATATTTTCAGTTATTTGAAACCAAAACAAGAAGTCGAGCTGTCAACAAAAACAAATTCGATGTAGCTGAGATTGTCAATTATGTTTTTGCCTGTTTTTCCTCCTATAAATGAAAAATGCTGACAGTGAATATTTTAAAGAAGAGTGTTTGAATTTATATTTATGATGTTATCTCTAGTAGATTGTTAAATACAAATATAAATAAAGTTTGTCAAAATGCAATGGATGTCTTTGATACATGTATGTGAAAGGCCCCTCTGTAAGAATCTACAACTATCAAACTTATTTATGTATTTCCCTTCTTTGAAATATTCCAGGTACTTTTTGATTAAATGCTTTTACTATGTGTTTAAAACCAAAGTGTCCCCCTGTGCAGAGTGCAACCTGGTGGAAGGGGAGGACCACGTGGAGGTGAACGGGGAAGTGTTCCCTAAACCCTTCGTGGAGAAACCTGTGTGTGCCGAGGACCACAACGTGTACATCTACTACCCATCGTCTGCTGGGGGGGGCAGCCAGAGGCTCTTCAGAAAGGTAGAGCTGGCAAAGACACAGGAGATATTTAGGTCGGCAAAAAGATGCTCTGATCTAGAAATACTGACAAGTTACCTTAACGTCACACTGCTTTTGACAGTATCCACTGTCCCTACATGTCAATGAGTGTTATTTTAATATAACTAGGGATGTCCCGATCACCTTTTTTTGCTCCCGATCCGATTCCGATCATTTGATTTTGACAATTTGCCGATACCGATTTTTCCCGATCCGATCTTTATGCAATGCATTAAGAGAAAAAAAAGCATTCAAGTTGTCCCTTAAGGTTATTTTTTTATTTAAATTGATATTCTATCCAACATGGATATAGCTTCTTTCTTTCACAGCAGCATTGGATCAGTTCAGTTGTGCAGCATTGGATCAAAACAAAATAAAGCTTATCAGTACTCGTTAGCTTACTGCTACAATTAGACACTGCGCCCTGCCCACTCTGTTGCCAGATTTGAGAGAAATAAGCAACCAGGTCTATGAAAACAAGCCCCAAAGAAGCAACACATACATGATGTTGTGTAATTTGAAACCAAAACTAAGGCCTCAGGATGACTTTAAGACTCGAACATGGTCGTTTTTGTTTTGTAACATTGAATAAAAAAAAATAAATAAAAATAAAAAAAAATCCGATCCCCGATTTTTTTGTCCCGATTCCGATCTTTTGAAAATCACGTGATCGGCTCCGATCCCCGATCACGTGATCGGATCGGGACATCTCTAAATATAACCCTAATCATAATGCTAATTTTCCTAATTGCCTAAGACATCATGTTTTCAGGGTTGTTCAGCATCCTTACATCAAAGTATTTCTCATGAACAAGATATCTCAGGAATGCATGAAAGGAAATTTCTTGTAATTTTGCAAAAAAAAGTCCCTTTTGACTTAAGGGTAAACTTATTGGAATGTAATGCTCGATGGTTAAGGTCTCTGGGACCTCACAAAAATCTTTTTTGGTCCAAAAGCAAACAATAAATGCTTATAATGGCTATTTCTTACACATGTCTAATGGGATTGAAGGATTAAGTGAAGACATTTTGGGCAGATTTTGATGTAAATTGCAACTTGACTGGTTGGCTGAGGCAACTTGACGAGGCGGTAATTCTAGTTTGGGTTGTTTTTTTGCGTTATTCAATGACTTACACAAAGGAAACATGGCTGAATAGCTGCTGCAGGGTTAAACCTTCTAGATTTACAGTTAATAACACAGTGAAACCGAAGGAACTTGAGAGACCAGTACTACCATCGGGAGGTTGCAGAGGTGAAAAAAAGTTTGGGTAATCTAGGATTTTTCACCTTAAGTGGTTTCTATATCCTGGGGGAAGCATTTATTTGACAGGCTTTGTCTCTGTGTAATATACGTGTGATATAAGTCTACTATGGGGGTAATAGCAGTGTGATGTGGGTGTGTTATGGGTC